CTTTAGGCTCTAAAAAAAAAAAAAAAAAAAAAAAAGAAAAAGTAATACCTATCTCTTTAGGGAACACACAATGTTTAAAGAGGTCCAAAAACATTTTCCTCTTGTGGGAGACCAGTTGACCCTGAATTTAATTACAGTTATGAAGAATAGCATGTAGCTATTCCACTAGTCGACTGTACCCAAAAAATGGAAGCCCATTTCTGAAAATTAGGTTCCCTAGTTTACCAGCTTGCTTTAATATTCTTTTGTAGTATTTGTTCTGCATTCTTCAATGATTTTTTTCATGTTATTAATCTTTTGCAACTTCAATTTTGGTTTTGAATTAATCTTTCTTGGCTTAGTAATTTAATTGTTATCCATTCATCTGCATAAAAAATAGCGCTGTCATGATACCTAACACAGTATTTTTATTTTGTATTAATTTAGAGTCAGGTATTTTCATCTGTATGTCCTGTGTCAGCTTTCATCTGCCAGCAGTCTTCACAACCTGCAAAGAAAGCTCCATATCCATTGTGATAACACTCTGTGATAATTTGTAAAAGAATCATATATGTGATGCCCTTACAATTTCAGCCAACATACTGGGGCCTTTTCTAATGAAATTATTCCTTAGCTACCAAGAAGCTTGCTTTAAATGGGCTTGTGCAGCCATAGTACCAAATTCTGCTCCCAGTGTCAGCAGTGTAAGTATGAAATAACTCTTGATTTCTGTGGAATACTTCAGATTTAACAATACAGATGAGAATCACATTATGGTCTAGAATTAAAATTTTTCCCTTTAATTTTTTCTTGTGTTGGTGAACACCATTGACATAAGGGATAAGTTATAAATTAACATGACTGTACTCTCCCAGTGAAAGCAACTGGCATCCCAAAAAGAAATAAGTGCACGATATGTCCTTTGAAGAGGGAATGGAGAAACACTCTGAAATGATCCTCGACTTCTGTATTAATTGTAACAATGGCATTGAGCAAGACTGAAAATGTTGTCCTAATTAAATTTCACCCTGAACCACTTAAGTATTTGTAGGCAGACTTCACCTTTATGTAGCTCTGTAATGTGCTACGTTTATAGCTTGGGAAATAAAGCACTGGCATGAGTCTCCATTTTATTTGTGTTCTGTTAAGGGCATATCACGTTAACTGGCTCTGGTTTTGAGGTTGACTTTCTCTTTTGGAATGGCTGCACACAAATTAGTGTCAGTTTTGAAGACTAAGGATACTAAATGAGTGTATCTTTGCTATACAACAAATATGAATTATAATATTCAGTGCTGGCTTCTGATGTGTCAGTAAGTACAAAAGTATCTCAGACACAATGACCTTTGCAACCTTTCAAGCTGTGTAATATTCAAATGGTTTTGTATATACTTTAAATCATGTAGAATGATGTAAAACCAGTATGACCTTGTCTAGTCTTCAAACTTAACAATAAAACTTTTGAAAAATGAGGTCATTTTTGAAGCATTTATATTGCAATACCTTGAAAGGGATGCCACTTATCTCAGCCTCACTGGCAGCAAATGCAGAGTAGAGATATGATGTGGCATTTTCCTGGATTCATTCACGGGGTCTTTGTAGTAGGTAAGTTTATTTCTGGCAAAATCAACTGTGGTGCTGCACTCCCTTCAATGTGTTCCCTTTGTTCTTTCAGATAAAAAAGCAAAGGTTTGAATGAGTCTAAAAATATTTTTCTATCTTACTGCTCTCTGAATAAGCACCAGAAAGGTAAACTAACAATTTCATTTCCTTTAAGTCCAATTTCTTGGGATATTTATCAATCCTTATCCCCTCTTCTCCATTCCTGCATAGGCAAATTAATTTCCAAAAAGATAAACAGTACCTGCAGCGCTATGATGCTTCCAGCGGAGATGCCAGAGCAGGGCCAGTACTTGCTCACGCCCTCACCTATCTTCACTTTATTTGCTGTACAGCCCACTTCCCAAAATTTCTCAGTTTAGTTCACTGTATTACTTCGATTCTGAAAAAGCCTAGAGGTTAAAGTAGTGCATGTAAAAGCCATTCACCCACAATTTTAAACATTGAGATTTTTAAAAAATTTTAAAGTTTTGTGTACCTATGAGAGATGGAGCTTCAGTGGTTTACTCCTTACTGATCCAGAATAAGCTCATAGATATACATGCTTTTGTTTCAAATCCATTTCAGCTTGTGTCCTTTCCACCAAAAATTGTCTTTTGGAGATTAAAACCACCCATGAGTATGCACTGCAACAGGTACCTTGTCTGCCAAACGTGTGGTCTGAACACTAACAGCATATCATCTTTCAACAGAAAAGTCACAGAATTGATGGTGCAATTTTTTCTGATGACATACCTCTACCGATTGTAAAAATGAGAATATAATGATGCACACAAAAAGAGGATTACGTTTGGTGAATGATGGCTGAATATTAGCACTTCAATTATAAATTTCTGAAAATATACATCTTGAATCTTTCTGACTTTTAATTATAAATTGCAACTCCTTCATGAAACATGGGGCCTGTTCCTGAAAAAATGACAAGTGATTTTTCCTCTCATTCCTCATAATGTAGATCCCCAGGAGCTCTAATGAAGACAATGAGAGAAAATAACGAATAATTCTCTTCAGAATAGCAATTATTTTTCAATATCCATCCTCCCATACCTGTTGCTAATGAGCTCAAGGGATAAACATGCATATCAATACGCTACATCATTCTAAAATATGTAGTCTCTGATATTTCTGTGGTAAATACAGTTACACTTACTTTGTGCCTTAGATTCAAATAACAGGAGGTTAATCTGTTCACTTAGTCATTACTAAGTGACCTGTGATCACTTAGGCTTATAAAAGAAATTAGGATAAAACAGAAGATATTTTACTGACACAAGCTTTTTATTTTCTGTTTTCTTAAAATTTGCATAATTTTCTTAATAGAGAAATACACTTTAAGATGTGAAAAATTGCTTTAGGTTAAGAATATAAAACATAAAAGGCAGACTTGTGTAAGTCTTGCGTAGCTTTATAACTGCATTTATCACAAATTATCTTTCAATGATACAAATCAGTATCAGCATTTGGGGAGCTATGAATGCATAAATTTAAATGTCTCTGAACATAAGAACATGGAAACATGTCTTGGCCTCACAG